AGTGGCAGCATCAATGGGCTCAAACGTAGCAACAATTTGTGGTTGGCCCAGGACTGGGCAGTGTGTCGTTCTGTTGTGCATAGGGTCGCTATGAGTCGGTATCAATTCGATAGCACCCAAGATAAACATAGGTTCGCTATAGTTGAGAATCAACTTAATGGCAGTTAGTATACCAGAAACATTGGTTCTTGAGCTAATGAAATTATTACATTTATATTGTAATTAATAATCGCTTTAAGATTTTGTATATTTTATTGTTATATACCATTTAAAAATTCTCCAAATATCATAAATATTAAAAAATGTAAATAGACACTTAAATGACCAAATAGTAAAACCTATACAAGTGTCAGTATTGCTTCTTGTTGTTAGATACTCTCCAGTTAGGTCCAACTCATAGTGAACCTATATAAATAGAAACGTAGCCCGGTCCTTATAATTAATTGCTGCTGTGTTTGAGAATACTATTGCAGCTACTCTGTCAATCTATCTTGTTGAAAGCCTCCCTCTTTTTCTCTGTATGATCAATACAGTAGAATGTCTTACCATAGTTAGTAAAACACAGGTAAACAACTTTCTAGTATTGTATACTTTCAACCAAGATCCATCTGACATTAGCAATTTTAGGCCTTGTTCCATATCCTCTTCTGAATCCAGCTTGAATTCTGGCAGTTTCCTGGTGATGTACTGCTGAAACCACTTGTGAATTATCTTCAGTAAAACTTCATTTGCTTGTGATATTAACGATGATGCTTGATAATTTATACATTCAGTTGGAGCGTCTTTTTATTTGGAATGAAAACAATATGGATCTCTTCTTGACATAGAGGTTTGAGTACTTTAATTGCTACATAAGTTTATTAAGACATTTCAACTGGTGTTCCATCAATTCCTGGAGTCTTGCTTTCCACCAATGCTCAGTGCAGCTTGGACTTTGTGTTTCAGCACCAATGGTTCTTGATCATATGCTATCTCCTGAAATGGTTGATTGGTGACCATTTCTTTTTGGTACAGTGACTCTGTATTCCTTCCATCTTTTTTTGAGGCTTTCAGTTTTGTTTACTGTTTTGCCCATGTTGTTAGGTGCCATTGAATCCGCCAATGCATAACAGAACAGAACACTGCCCAGTCCTGCTCTACCTTCACAATCGTTTTGTCTGAGTCCAGTGTTGCAGCCTCTGTATCAATCAATCTTGTTGGGAGTCTTCCTCTTTTTTGCTAACTCCCCACTTTACCAAGCATGATAGCCTTTATTAGGGGCTAGAAACTCCTGATAACATGTCCAAAGTACATGTGACGAAGTCTTGCCATCCTTCCTGCTAAGGAACATTCTGGTTGTATTCCTAACACAGATTTGTTTGTTCTTCTGGCTTTCAATATTTTCAGTATTTTGGTGGTGCTTTTAATATTTTTCACCAACGCCATAATTAAAATACATCAATTATTCTCTGGTCTTCCTTATTCATTACACAGCTTTCACATGGGCACGAGGCGATTGAAAATACCATGGCTCGGGTCAGAAGCACCTCAGTCCTCTAAGCGACTCTTTTGCTCTTGAACGCTTTGAAGAGAAATTACACAGCAGATATGCCCAATGTGATATGTGGTCTGATTTCTTGACTGCTGCTTCCATGAGCATAGTGTATAGTCAAGTAAAATGAAATATATGAAAACTTCAATCTTTTCTCCATTTGTCATGACACTGTT